GCCCCAACACAGTTGTAGCCGTAGTCATATCCAAAACAGACTACTACAAAGCACTCTGCTCAAGGATGGCTTTAATTATCAACAACATCATGTGCCATCAGGCCTTGGGGCATGAAAATTTTGACTGGTTCAAAACAGAAAAAAGAATCTTTTGCTGAATCATTTCACCTTACACTACCTATCATTCATGGGTCCGTAACTGACTTCCAAGTTTTTTCAAAGTGCTCATTAATACCCATAGATCCCTAAACTGTTTGGAACCACAGTAAAGCACTGTGAGATCTTTCCTGGCTCTCATCTATTCACCTAACTGCCGTCTCTGAACACTAGCTGAGGAGCATTTGCTGGGTACAAAGTGTGAAGTACTTCGGATCCAATTGTTCAGTGCAGTGTAGTGCAGGGGTCCCCAACTCCTGGTCAGTGGCCGTTCTGTGGCCTGGGGACACAGAGACTGATCTCCCCCCGCATGCATGCGAGTTCGCGCTCCTGCCCCTTCGCGCATGCACACAAGTGCACCTGCGCAAGCACCCCTATCCCTTCATGCATGCATGTGCGTGCATGCCGGCACAAGCGCGCCCCTTCATGCATGCGTGCAAGGGGGGTGCCCCGCTTTCCCTGCATAGAGACTCTGTCCGCCCCCAACCGCAGTGTCATAAAGGTTGGGGACCACTGGTGTAGTGGATACAGTGATGGACTAAGAGTGCAACTAGAGGGTCGAATTATCCCGGCCTGGATTGGTCTTGTTCATACTAAACAGCTGTTTTGAGGTGTAGGATGTCAATCTTAAGAGTAGGGATGCCTTACAACACTAATTACATTTAAACAAGGGATACCTGTACACTCTACTTAGAATTACCAGATTCCCTCATTAGTTCGGCCCTTTGTTGTCTGTTAGGAACCCAATGTATGAGGCTGATAAGGTCACAACAGAGGAAGTGCTATTCACTGCTATCTCTTCATATTATTTGACAGATGACTTACTCCTTGAACCTTTACGTCAATATGTTTGATCACTTGCATCTGTGCAACTAAATTGCCTAAGCCAAAATAATTTGTACAAAGCTTTGTGATGTGATATGAAAGCTATCTCTGTGGGTATGTGCCACAACATAATTTAGGACAATGTTTGCCTAAAAGCAGTTTATTGTTATTAAAAATATTAATCAATGTTTTATTTATTACACCTGACATGTTAGAGAAAATTAACATATACAATATGTAAGAATCTACTCATATTGACTGTTCCCAAAGGGAATGGCAAAAGCCTCAACACTGGTTTGAAAGTCTAGCCCCCGTGGTTAGAGTCGCCTCTCTACAAACACTGTATGGTAAGCAGATGTGAAACAGGTATGGGAAGAAGAGAGAGACCTCCTGCTTCTTTTAAATATATACATACATATACTTTGAATAACCTAAAGTAGCTTTCCTATTTGTTACAATATACAACTAATCTCATAATAATGAAGCCAATCAGCTATTCTGAAATACTCTTCATGTCTATGTGATGGTTCGGTATGCCTCCCTCCCATTTGTCCAAATAAAATGGCAGATGGTTTTAACTCAAAATCATGATTGTCTTTTATTTCTCTTGATAAAGGAAAAACTTCTTTTAACGAGGCTTGCTTTAACTTCTCCTGAGATGCCAACAGGGTGTGCAGGGGTGTCCATAACTCTGGTTCAAACGGGTTTAAAGATTTTAAGTCCCAAGATCCCACTAGAAAGGGGTCTTCCTCTATTCCTTCAGGTTTGACCCCTTCGTCTCTTAGTAATGGGGAGGTCTTGTTGCCATCCTCGTCTCTCCATACCAGATGTCTCTTACCTGTGAGCTGTCCCCATAGCCCTGGAAGAACATCATCATCCTCGCCTCCTTGGCATGCTCTTCACTCCTCTGCTTCTCTGGCCACCGTTTCTCTCCCCCCACCCTCAATTGCCTCCTCCACTCCTTCGCCTCAGACTCTCCCCAGTAAGATGGGTGCTGGGGAAGTCCTAGTCTCTGGCGATAATCCGCCTCTTTTCTGGGCACCTTTACCTGTTCCCATTTCCCAGTCCATAGGTCCTCAACCCATATAAGCTCCCAGCCACCTGGGATGGTGTCGTCCTCCCTAATTATAATCCCAATTCCCACCTCAGCCATGGACCTCCCCCTTTCTCCCCGCCAATTCTTCTTCTGTCTGGGTGGCTACTGTCAGGCCCCACAGGCTTTTCTCCAGCTCCCGGGGGTGTTGGTGGCAGAGTAGTCTGTACCTCTTTGGAGGCTCTACCAGAGGACGGCACTCCGACGAGAGCCTCTACTCTCTCGACTCATTTATCACAGTCTCTCATTCTGAGTAGACACCAATGGCCATAATGAGGATTGGGAGTTAAATTTAAAACAAATCTCTTCAGATATGAAAATAATAACAGTAAAAATGGTATTAACAATAAAAATGGTATGTTATATCGTAACTTAGTGAGGCATCAAAATAATTAACTTCCTAGCTGCAATTTGTGAGAAAAATGCTACTAGTTTCAATTTGCCTTTTCTTTTACACTTAGTTTGCTATATAAATATACCAAGCAGGCACTTTTGGATTTTTTAGAAGTGTTCCTTAATACTTGTGTTTACATAATAACTGAGGACAAAAGGATCCACTTGGAAGGACATTGTGTGATGTTCTCTGAAAAATGCTGGGCAGCTTAATGAGAATTTAAAAAGATCTTAAAATGATAAGAATGACCTGGTCTATTTCAAAACCTCAGGCTCTTTCTTTACAGCTCTGTCTTCTTCTCACACACTGACCTTCAAATATCTCCCTTGAAACATGCGGAAAGCATAACATTTCCTCTCTACTCACACAAAACTCTCCTAATTTCCCTTCCAGCAGTTTTAACTCCTGGTTATGTATTATTACTGTACTTTTTTTTCTTTTTCAGCCTCATCAGGACACGTACTAATGGCAATAAATTTAGACTAATGCAGTTGCAAAAACAGGCAATACCTTGTACTGTAGATGAAATAATGAAGGATTTAAAGGAGCAACATTTCCTCAACAATTTCAATAATATTCCACACCAGCTAGTACAATGCAGCAGAATTAGATGCTAGACCTTTAAGGGGGAGATAGAGAAAAGATAGTACTACTTGACTATAGGAAGTGTGCATTTTGTTTTCAAATGCTTGCCCCAAACTACTCTTCAGGTACAAAAAACCAAAAAAAATTCAAACTGCAAGAGGATTTTTCATTATTATTTGTCAAATGAAGCTCTAGAAAATCTAGTCACTTTTTGCAGTCTGAAGTAAGGCTGTCCATTCTTCATCATCTATTACCATTAAATATGTGCTTCATTCTATAATTTCCATGCGTACACTAGGCCAAGTAGTTCCATACAAAGAGCAAAGGTATTCAATAATCCTGAGGCATGCGCCACAGGTATGTCTACTTAATCTCAGAAACTCTACCTTGATCCACATTCTTAACAATACATATGAGGACAGCTTCAGGATGAACCTTGCTATAACAACAACAACAAAACAACAAAACAACAACAGCTCTGGAACCAAAGGTATGATGGGCAAATGAAACACATAAACCCCAAAGAGAACAGGAACTGATGAATTAAGAATCTATCCAGGACTGGTGAGATTAGAAGTGAAGACAAACAAACTCATTGAAGAGACAATGGTACAGATAAATGTCAGAAGCTGTTTATTAATGTGAATAGACATATGAAACTGGATTTGCAACTGCAGTTGTATGGTACAGAGGTTGTCTTGCAATGTTTGTACTCTGAGTGGTCTTCTATGCATTTACATAAATAGTGCAGAGCCACCACCACACCTTTTGGGACTTTCTAAACTGCGAGTTTTGACCGTTGGTCCACATCTCACATGCGACTGTGCATGTTCCAGTGTGCCTTTCCTTCAGTTTATGAATTCAGATGGCACAGTAACAAAGAACAGTTAAGTTCATGTGCCAAAGAGGGAAGGAGGGTGAATTGTGTGAAAACACTGAAGATCAGTGGGTGAACAAGCCTCACAAACGCAACCTATTTTTCTTCATTGTGGTCTCTATGCATTCATGAAGACTAATAAACTTACCTCCAGAGAGGATGTAGAGGCAGGTGGGAAGGCATGTGAACTAACAGTAACACCTCAGAGAAAATGGTATTCCTTGTTTAAAATAATATTAATACTGAGTACTATCTATTTCAGCTACCTTTGATTCTTATAAGTAGAAAGCCATCATGGTTTCACCTTGAAATGGAAAGTATCATTTAGCTTTCAATTCAAATAGAGAGAAAGCACTCTTTAAGTGCCTTATTTTCCATTAAATTTGGCTCATCAGGAAGGAATATAGGCAGATTATGTATGGAACAGTGTCTTTTAGCCTTAGCCTCTCAGATTAATTCTTCAGAAGAGCAACTTCAATATGCAATTAAAGTTTTAATTTATTAATCTATCATGTTCGCAGGGCTGGTGTTATAAATTCAAGCAGTGTTCACCGCTCCTCATTTAATCTGACATTTTTTACAAAATCTATCAGTTGAGGAAGGAGTAATATTATGAGAATAAGTTTCAAAGCTATGCCCAGAATACTAAAACAAAATCTTTTAAGAGAAACCATATGCAGAAGGTTTGTGCAACATTTTCTCCCTCTGCCCAGCTATACTTCATGCACCCAGTTTTGCAACCAAGGTGTGATTAGCAACATGAAAGAGAGCTTGCCAGCAGGGTGGAGTGGGGGACATGCAGTTGTCCCAATACAACTGCATAAGTAAACAAGATATTGATTCATCCATGGCATTGTAATCATGTTCAGAACTCTCAAATCTGTAAAAATTCCAGGTATAATAATCTTAGAATAATAAAACTACAAAGCTGAGAGGGACCCTATGGATCATCAAGTGCATACATAGAACCGTCATAATTTTAAAATGATTGGGAAGGTAAGTAAACATGTTAAAAAACTTATCCACTTTTGGCAAATGTGGAAAAGCTTAGAAGTATACATTATTCTTACCTATTGTGATGGACGACTCACAGTGATAGTAGCCATTGGGTTGCTTTTTTTTCAACATGGAGCAAAGATCTAGACGCTTCAAGGACTCATCTCCAAAATAATGGTTTTTAAAACTTTCAAACCAAGTTGGATCAATTTTTTTCACTCCCTTTAAATATGAAAGAAAAAGCACATGGTCAGAAGAGGGGACATACAGTGTTTAAAAAACAAGAAGACTGGGTGGTTAATAACCTAGTTTATGAATCCAATTCTGCAACAGTGATACATGAACAGAATTCCATAGCCAAATTGTGTCTACCAGTTATAGGTCACTTTAGCTAGATTATAATGCATGTTACCACAGTGTAATCCTATGATCAGAACATAGTAAAAATTTCTGTTATAAAATGGTATAAACAGCAACCTGGGATGGAGCAAGAGGTCACCATTACTGTTTGCCTCTGATCATTTTAAATCAAATGTAAGGATGTGTCAAATACTTTTTAACTAAAGTACTGTGTACATAGATGGCTATAGATAAATAAATAAGGTGTAAATGAAGAGTACTGTACTAATCATTACCTTAGAATACATAACAGCAAATAGATGAGATACCAAATGAGTCTTTAAAATCTTAAAAAGCAAAATGAAACACTAGCTCAGAAACAATTTGAATGAATTTGCAACCAATTTATCTAATGGATAAATACAAAATACATGCATATCACATATGTACTACTGATACACATTTAGCTTGGGCATATAAATTAATAGAATGGGGGAGACCAAAAGGATTAATCTGTTTTAAGAGACTTAATTCTCAGTATAGCCCCTCCTCTGAGTTGTGATCAATCATTACGTAAATGTAATTCAGCTTTATTATTTCTTCAAGCACTTATTGAGTTTTGAGGAAGTGCTTAGGCCCAAGCAATGACTTCAGAATATGATCACAAAGGAAAATGCAGTTTTCTTGCTGTACAAAATGTATTCTGCTTTTCCTCTTTCATAAAATGTCACTGACATCTAGTGGTAAATCATCTGAACTACACATATGTAGTCTTGGTTCTCACTCTTGCAGCGTGAGACGTCAACAGACTAGCTTGTAAGAAAACACAGGTAAATCTCTGGAGAATTTTTCTCCACATAGAATCCCAGAATCATAGGAATTTTTAAAATCTCTAATTAAGGATGCTAATTAATGTAATTAATGTAAAAAAATTAAAAATGGACATTTGATAGGGATTGGCATAAATCCCTTTATGTGGCATCTTATCTGCACTGAGGGCATTAAGACACACTTAATCTGAGGACTTTGAACACTGGAGTTCCCAAAGATCTGCTGTGGAAAAAAGAATGGTTTTCAGGTCCAGAGGGAAGTACCAGGAACACTGCATTTACCAGGGAGAATAGATAAGTCCAGCTCCTGAAGCCGCTACCCAGAGCAGAGGTGAGGCCCCTGGAGCCTTCCAGACACTTCAGGTGACGACTCCTTCACACTGGCTCCATGAAACAGCGCAGCAGATGGATAGGTAGAAGCATTTGGAAGGCCAACGCCTTCCTCCACATTCTTGATTTACAACCATGACATGCTCATGGAGCCGTGAATTATTTTATGTTAGGGAAACACAGATATTTAAACTGCCAACTTCCCTCAGCAGCAGTTTCAATATCTCAGCACCAGAAACGGCTGCATCCTGAGGCACTTCTGCTTCTCCCTTCATGCTCCCCTCAGCATTTTTTTTACAGCTCTCGGACAGGAATTTCTGTGTGATGGGATGACACAGAAGAGATCTATTTGGTAAAAAATAGGAGATCAAGCTTCTCCCCTCTTCACAAGAATAGCCTCTATGGACACCTTGGTCCATTCATATTCTCACAGTCCAATGTTAATGCATTAAACAGAGAGAGAGAGAGAGAGAGAGAGACAGACAGACAGACAGACAATAGCAGGGCAAGAGAGAGTGCATTAATTAATTAATAAAAGAGTAGCATATTCATTATCTGCCTCCCTTACTCATCCTCTCATTTTAATGCTGGTTAAAAGAACAGTAAGTGACTATTCACTTGCTTTATGTGACATTCTATCCAAGCACTCCTTTTGGGTTTCTCTTTCTTTTCATCCACCTTTTAAAGAGTTTCATTATGACAGCTTTCTTCTCTTCAGATCGTTATCCCCATGTCTCCAGGGGAAGGAGAGGCTGACAAGGGTGAGAGGACCTTGGCACACACACACACACACACCCGGCTCCTAACCTGTGGAGAAAAGTAACAAAACAGCAACGTGCAGAGAGATCACCATTATCACAGTGTGCATGCCGTGGGTGGAAAGGGGAAAGCTGGTATAAAGGAGAGTTCCTAAAGCCGGTATTATAGAGTTTCAACCTTTTTTATTTATTTTTTTAATGTAAGGTTCATATTCTTTACAGTTCAAGCAGAAAGCAAGGGAAAATGGCTGCAGCATTCCATGTCCCCTCAGAACTCAAAGTCCATTATAACACATTTAATTATTTTATTTGGCATTTGAGACTTTTAAACATCTAGGATGACAGTTGACCAACCAATAGGATCAAGGCTTCAACATGAAATATTTTCAAAGACTAGGGTTGGCTGGAAGTGTTTAAATTCTGTGGGGAAAGGAGAGAGCATGCAAATCTTCCGTAATTCTACAATATTCTGTAACTGTCATTTACAGAGTGTTTGTTAACAAAAGCTTTTCCCCCTCCCCCAGGTCAGTAAAAACACAGTGTATACAACATGAATAGTTAAAACATGAGGAGAAATAAATAGCATAGATTTGGGAAAATTAATAAAATCTAGAATGAGCACAAACAGGCTACCACAGTGATACGGAATGTATTAGGACTCAATAAGAATGAGCCAAGATTAAAACATAGCCAGTGCTGATCTACATAGATGATACATTTACTTCAAAAAAAATATTAACTGTTAAAATCGTAAATTTATATTATATTTTATATCATTTTGTTTTTTAATGTAAAACTGTATATTTTAAAACTGTTTTTATCTTCTAAGTTGTGAGCCGCCCAGAGTAGACTATGTCTAGATGGGCGGCATATAAATGCAATAAATAAATAAATAAAAATAAATACATACTTATAACAGGAAACTGCAGGAAGGCATCTGTTCTTGAAAAATATTGATTGTGTAGTTTATTATACTATGCTATTTTGCAGAGATGGGAAGGAATAGGTTAAAGTTACACTATTACTTTTAACAAGAGGTGTTCACTTGTAATTAGGGCCTAAGAGAGTAAACAGCATTAATGCTTTTGGTGTAATGAGTGATCCTACTTTTTTAAGAAGTTATTTTAAGAGCATTTTAGAAGCATTCTGTCAGCAATTTTTTAAAGTTTTATGTCATTCTCTCTCGAAAAATCCATAGTATGGCAAGAGGTGGATGAAAAAGTAGTACCCTTGGATCCTCCTCAGATGTCCACCTCTGGTATTAAGAATGCTGGAGGGATTACAGTGAAGTGACTGGGAAGTACAATATAGGCGTGAGATAGTCTGCTGCTCCAATATATGACTAAAACTAAAGATAACATTTCCACTTCCTGCTATAAATATTGACAAAAAACAACCTTTATTAAGTAAAACCAAAACGACTATATAGATCAACAGTTAAATTTACAGGTCATGTGATTTATTCCAGAGCGCCACATTTCACTAGCTCTTTATACAATGTATTCATTCCCTCCTTTATCAGCATGCCAGGTAAAAGTATACTTCAAATTATTGTGTGAGAACAACAGACATACTGTACATCTTTTTGTTACATAAGAAAAATGTAGAAGCCTCACAAAATTGCCCTCAGTGAAATTGCTTTTTGAATTTCAAAGGAAACTTCCACAGGCATCAGGGAAAATCCCTTAAAATACTAACAACTGCATAGAGGTGACTTGCTGAAACTGTGACAAGGAGACAAACAGTTATATTTCCTCTCCCCACCACCACAGTCCAAAGGCTACTTCACAGCTGCTACTTACCTAATAAAAAATTACATATTACTTGCAGTCATGTAATGAATTAAAATTTTAATTGTATATTTATTGGGTTTTTAGCTGTACTTATACAGTGGTGCCTCGCTTGATGACAATCCATTCTAGCAAAATCGCTGTACAACGAAATCGTCGTCAATCCAAGTAAAAAACCCATTAGGATGCATTAAAAACCGGTTAATGTGTTCTAATGGGCGAAATACCTCATCGTCCAGCGAAGATCCTCCATAGGGCGGCCATTTTCCGGTGCCTGTAAAGCGAAAAAGCCCTCCTAAACACAGCAGGGAGCCATTCTGCACAGCGGGCAACCATTTTGAAACCCGACAATCAGCTGTTTTCTGATCACCATTAAGGGAAAAATCGGTTCCTGAAGCAGGGAACCTATCATCATCAAGCAAAAAAAGCCCTTTGAAACATCGTTTTGTGATCGCAATAGTGATTGCAAAAACATCGTCGTGAAGCAATTTCATCGTATAACAAGATAATCGTCAAGCGGAGCACCACTGTATTTTAATTATTGTGAGCCGCCTTGGGCTTCCTCCATGAGAGAAAGGCAGTATAGAAAATAAATATATAAATAAATTTGATCATAAAAGCAATCATGAGAAGACACTTCATCTGTTCCACTAATGTCCCTTTCCCCAGGAATTCTGACACTAAGAGTGTGCATGCACACCACTTGTAGGTTGAATTTTACCTCACATCTGCCCATGGTTTTGTTTTTGCTTTTTTTCCATTTCTAGTGCATTGAAAACAATATGGATGGTTTCTAAATGAGTCACAAACATGCACAAAGTTAAGTGTGCTTTTGGAATCAGTCAGTACAAGTATACTGTTATTTATTTTATTTTCATTTAAGAAGGTTTTATCACACTTCTAAATAGCAAAGTCAGAGACTGAAGTTAGATGCCTCTCTTGCCAATACCACGGTTAATCAAGTACCCACTGTCTTCTACAAGCAGTCTCCAGTGTTCTACAGGTCTTAAATCCCACACTGGAATCCATAAAAAAGGGGAAAAATAGCCAATGTGAGTGAAAGGAAAATGTATACATTAAGACAAAAGCTAGTTATATAAGAAATGAGAAAAGTGATACAATAGATTTGGAGATTGGCAATAACTCACAAGGGGGCAGTAATGTGAATAATATTCAAAAACAAACCATTAACTACAACATTCTTATTTTCACAGCCAAACAGCTTCCATAATTTTGAAAAAAAAAGAGCACTACTGCTATGCTTGCTACTCACTGCCAGCCCCAGTCACCACCTATAATCGAACAAGAAGATGAACAAGAACAGTCCGAAGTTTACATGTGTGTTTTGTGGTATGGAGGAAAGCTGGGGGTTGCATATTATGACACTGCAGATTGTTCAATCTACCTCATGTCTGACTCACCAGATAATGAAGACCTGAAGCTGCTCCAAAAAGTAGTCAATGAGGTACTTCCCAAATACATATTAAGCAGTGCTAAACAAGATTACAACATAGCAAAATTCCTAACCAATATAAGCACCTTTACAGGAAATGAACAGTGTAGAGGAAAGCCAGAGGTTGTCCTCTACCCAAATATGGATTTTGGCTTAGAGGTAAGCAAGCAAAGGATCCTCTCTCGGCAATTCCCCTTTATCCCCTCTCATGTGACAGCAACTGAGAAAATTCTCTATTTGTCCTCCATTATTCCTTTTGAGAGCTCACTTGTGGTAAGAGCACTAGGAGGTCTGCTGAAGTTCCTTGACAGAAAAAGGCCTGGAGTGGAACTGGAAGACAGACATACTGCTGTCCCAATACTAGCCTTTAAAAAGTTTGTATTGACAGATATCGTAAACATGGATCAAGATACTTACTATGTCCTGCAGATATTTAAAAGTGAAGTGCATCCTTCTGTGTACAAACAAGCCAGTGGCAAAAAAGAAGGACTCAGCTTATACGGAATTCTAAACCAGTGTAGGTGCAACTGGGGAGAAAAACTAATGAGACTGTGGTTTATGAGGCCCACCCGTGACCTGCAAGTTCTAAACAAACGCCTGGATGTTATCCAGTTCTTCTTGTTAGCTCAAAATCATGAAACAGTTCTCACCTTACAAGACTGTCTCAAAAATATTAAAAATGTACCTCTCATTCTTAGGCGGATGGCTCTTTCTAATACAAAGGTGAGTGACTGGCAGGCACTGTACAAAACTGTTTACAATGCAGTGTGTCTCAGAGATACATGTCGCTCCCTGCCCAGTTCTATTGAACTATTCCAGACTATTTCACAGGTCTTCACTGATGATTTGCACTATATTGCCAGCCTAATCAGCAAAGTAGTAGATTTTGAAGGCAGCATCTCAGAGAACCACTTTACTGTAAAGCCAAATGTAGATCCTACCATTGATGAAAAGAAGCGAAAGTTAATGGGGCTATCAGACTTCCTTACTGAAGTGGCCCGAAAAGAATTGGAGGATTTGGATAACAGAATTCCATCCTGCAGTGTTATTTATATCCCCTTAATAGGATTCTTACTTTCTATTCCACGTCTGCCCACCATGGTGGACAAGAATGACTTTGAGATTGAGGGTCTGGATTTCATGTTTTTGTCAGAAGAAAAGCTACACTACCGGAGTAACAGAACAAAAGAACTAGACAGCTTGCTTGGTGACCTCCATTGTGAAATAAGAGATCAAGAAACACTAATTATGTATCAACTACAGACTAAGATTCTGGAAAAGTCTACAGTACTCAGCGATGTAATTGAATACATAGCACAGCTGGATGTGCTGTTGTCCCTGGCAGTGATAGCTCGAGAGAATGGATATACCCGGCCCCATTTTTCTCATTCCCACGTGATCCATATCAAGGATGGAAGGCATCCTCTGATGGAGTTATGTGCAAAGACCTTTGTGCCCAACTCAGTGGACAGCAGTGAAGCCTATGGGCGAATCAAGATCCTCACTGGGCCTAATTCCTCTGGAAAGAGTGTATATCTGAAACAGGTAGGTCTTATTACATTTATGGCCCTGATTGGCAGCTATGTCCCTGCCACTGAAGCTGAAATAGGAGCAGTGGATGGAATCTATACCAGGATCCACAGCAGAGAGTCAGTATCTCTTGGACTGTCCACATTCATGATTGATCTTAACCAAATAGCCAAGGCAGTGAACAATGCTACTGAAATGTCTCTAGTGTTAATTGATGAGTTTGGCAAAGGTACAAATACAGTGGATGGTCTCTCACTTCTGGCTGCTGTGTTAAGGCACTGGATTAAACAAACTACACAGTGCCCACATATTTTCGTTGCTACTAATTTCCACAGCCTGGTGCAGCTGAAGCTCCTGCCTGACACTCCTCTTGTGCAATATCTGAACATGGACACCCACCAAGACGGAGATGAGCTTGTGTTTTTCTATCAGTTAAAAGAAGGTGTGTCCACCGTCAGCCATGCAGCCAATATAGCTGCTTTGGCTGGCATGCCTCCTAAAGTGATTGAGCGAGGAGTAGAAGTATCAGAACTGCTCCGTAATGGAAAATTCATACAACCTCCTGACCATTCCTTGAGAGAGAAACAGCTGCAGAATTGTAAATCCCTAGTAGACAAATTCCTCTCCCTAGATCTTGATAACCCACAACTGGATTTAAGGGAGTTTATGAATCAAGAGGTGCTACCTTCTTCAGCCTCTTCATTGTGACCAAATAAAACAGCATGGTATGTACCAAATTCCTGAGTAACAGCTTCTGCTTGGAAATTTAGGAGATCAGTACTTACTCAAGTGAATTCATTGACACATGTCCAAGAAGCCTGGACAACTTGTGATTCATTAAATAAAGTGCAACCCTCATCAGCCACATATTATGCCCTACTAAGGGTTTGACGCTTTTCTCGCCTACTCCATTCTGTAAGTATCTGGCAGGAAATAAAATATGGACATTTATCAAGGCCTTAATGAGACTAAATATGGCAACTTCTTGGTAAATCACAAGTTGTGCATGCTCAGTATAAAAGGTGAAAAATTTATAGCAGCAGGCACCACAGATGAAAATTAGTTTCCACATTTCCCACTTAATTTGTACTAGCAATAAGAAAACAGTTATTCTGTAACAATGTAAAAACTATTTGAACTCTAGTCCCCTAATTAACAACAAGGGGGGGAAAAGAATTTAGTAGGATGGTAAGTGTAAGCTAAAAACACTTAGAGAGAAAGGCCAAAAGGAAAGGATGATTAATACAGTTCATATTTGAATGCAGAAAAATGCTAATAGTTTTGGTGTTCTTGGCATATCAAGCCAAGATGCAGCCTTTCCTTTTCCTGCTGAAAAAATTAAGGTAATGGGAACATTCTTTAGTAGGAACAGAACACATTTAATAAGATTCCTTGAAAGAAAAGGATAAAATTGCAGACATAAAGTACTAATAAATAATATATCAATTGTATCAGTAATGAAAATTAGGATTTAAAAACTGATTCAATGAAGTTAATAAAATATGAATATTTTCTGAGTTTGTTTTATTTTCTATTTCCTCAGTTCTGCCTATTCTTGTTCAGTTTTACAGAATATTTCAGTTCAGAATTTTGAAATAAATATGATTGTATGTAAGCTGGAAAATAAGTAAAATGTTATTTTTAAAGCTTTAAATGCCTTATGTGTACTTACTTAACTTAGAAAAATAACAATACCAAACAGATTACATAAAACTGAAAATTATTGTTATAAAAGAAAAATATGGCAAATTAAAATCTGTATCTCAACATTCACTAACATTTTTGAAGCAAGAGAAGTTATTCAAACATTAACAAACAGAGAAGGTATATTTCGATACACAATTTAATGTAGTATTGAGTGCAGACACCTGCCACCAGGAAGTACGGGATGAGGCAAGTGGACATATGCAATGTCAGCAGGCTGGCAAACCCTTAAGCAGTCGCATTTCACAAATACAATGGGCAAAATCCTGTTGCCTAGAGTTATGGTGGTATAAACTAGATCCAATGCCAGAAATAATAAATTTAAGTGAACAGAAAGCTCCCTATCCTCTTCAGGTTCAGAGGTACCCTAAGCTCCCTTCTGTTTTGGAGAGCCTTTAATAGTCAAAAACTGCTGCTGGATTACTGCCATCTAGATTAAGACCACCATTTTTTACTATTAAAGCCTTCTCTCTATCCTCTCTGGCCCTGAGGCTTCCTCAAGGCAAAAGGGAGCCCTAGCTAGGTACGTAGCTAGGAAATTATCAGTTAATTTAAATTAATTGTTTCCTAACCCAGATTTCATTTACACTGGCATAACTTTACGGAACAGGATTTTGCCCAGTGATTGCAAAGGGCTTGGATGGGATGGGTATAAAATCTGTGGTTGATTTAAAACCGTTTCAACAATTGTGTGTTTAGTCGTTTAGTCGTGTCCGACTCTTCGTGACCCCATGGACCAGAGCACGCCAGGCCCTCCTGTCTTCTACTGCCTCCCGGAGTTGTGTCAGGTTCATGTTGGTTGCTTCGCAGACACTGTCCAGCCATCTCATCCTCGGTCGTCCCCTTCTCCTCTTGCCATCACACCTTCCTAACATCAAGGTTTTTTCCAAGGACTCTTTTCTTCTCATGAGATGGCCAAAGTACTGGAGCCTCAGCTTCAGGATCTGTCCTTCAAGTGAGCATTCAGGGTTGATTTCCTTTAGAACTGATAGGTTTGTTCTCCTTGCAGTCCAGGGGATTTTCAAGAGTCTCCTCCAGCACCACAGTTCAAAGGCATCAATTCTTCGGTGGTCTGCTTTCTTTATGGTCCAGCTCTCACTTCCATACATCACGACAGGAAAAACCATAGCTTTGACTATTCGGACTTTTGTTGGCAAGGTGATGTCTCTGCTTTTCAAGATGCTGTCAAGATTTGTCATCGCTTTCCTCCCAAGAAGAAGGCGCCTTTTAATTTCAGGGCTGCTATCTCCATCTGCAGTGATCATGGAGCCCAGGAAGATAAAATTTGACACTGCCTCCATATCTTCCCCTTCTATTTCCCAGGAGGTGATGGGACCAGTGGCCATGATCTTAGTTTTTTTGATGTTGAGTTTCAGACCGTTTTTTGCACTCTCCTCTTTCACTCTCATTACAAGGTTCTTTAATTCCTCCTCACTTTCTGCCATCAGAGTGGTATCATCTGCATATCGGAGGTTGTTGATATTTCTTCCGGCAATCTTAATTCCGGCTTGGGTTTCTTCCAGTCCAGCCTTCCGCATGATGTATTCTGTATATAAGTTAAATAAGCTGGGGGACAATATACAGCCTTGCCGTACTCCTTTCCCAATTTTGAACCACTCAGTTGTTCCATGACCAGTTCTAACTGTTGCTTCCTGTCCCACATATAGGTTTCTCAGGAGACAGATAAAGTGGTCAGGCACTCCCAACAATTTCAACAATTATTACTGTTTATTATAGAGCTTTCCCAACCGCGGAGATGCAGTAAAAAATCCACACATCCCTGCAGTCCCATGCTTGCTGAAAATCTGTTCAGGAGGTGGGGGGGAATGCTTTACAACAGAACAGAAAGTGGTACAATACTGCAAAGAAAAGGCAGACCAGTGAAAATGACCTCTCCTCTGAATCAATATCATTTTTCTGATCAGACAACTCAGGATTTAAGTCAATGTTAAGAAATATATTTTAAAAAGCTGATAATCATAGAATTCCTAAAATCATTATGTTTCCATTCTAGAAGATGCACTGGATCATTAGGAGTTAATGACCATGCTATTAACTGACAGCATCAACGTCCTTACAATGTAGTTTCTCAAACTGGCCAATTTAAATCTTATAATGTAGTTTCTCTAGTGTGACAACCTACTCTGCCCCCTTGTATTGCCAATGCAGCACATGAAATGAATGCACCTGTTTTCGTAGTTTCGGAGATTTCGACAACTTCATGAAGGTCAAGTGAGGCTTAAAACCTTTGTCATCTCCTATGAAGATGCCCTTCTGTTGCAGTATCTTCTTCACAATCTCTAGGTAGAAAAAAAATAGAGAGGCTCTTAGATGCCAAATATTTGCTGACATGTCTGTCAAAATATGAGATGCATTTTTTCAAAGGTAAAATCATTTAGAAAAGGAGTTTTGATGTCTTCTAATTAATTACAGTTATTGTGCATAATTTTACTCTTGACCATGAAGTGTACAAAATTCATGTACCAATTCGTTGTACAAGTTGAGCAGATCCGTTCTTTGCCAATGACATCAAATAATCCAACCCTTCTGATATAGCTTTATGATTTCCGAATAGATTTCAAAATGGTTCATTACTCATCTTATCCATTATACTTCCTTTCTGCCCATAACTGTGGTATCCCAAGATCAAAGTCTGACAGTGCCAACATTGCTCCAAGGATAGTAAATACTGGGTGCGACATGCTAAATAAACATGGTGAAAAGCCAGCACTGTAGCATAAGTGAAAATATTTACTCTAGTACAATCAGCATGGGAATTTTGTCCTACTGTATTGGGTAACTTTATACCATGCATTGTACATTAATCTACTGCCATGATCTGATTTTATATCTATCTACAGATTACTGGATATAACTACAATGAAATATGTTTAAAACAGAATACTCAACAAAGTACATAGTCACTTGCTTACAATTAACTTTAATATCTGGGATTTTAGAACAAGCTCAAGGATACCAGATACAAGTTCAGTATCAGACTCTCCATTAAAATCTTTGTTTTATTTTCAAACCCACTTTTCTAGTTTACTATCCTTTGTTTTATGGTAGTGAACAGCTAAACAAGCCTTCAGTGTAAACAAAGTACTGTAATACCACTCAAAAGTTAAAAACAAAAATAAAATCCTTAAACTGTTTTCATCGTAACCACTTGTACTCTGTAATCCCATTTTAGCCCTGTATAGATGTTTGGTGCAAAGATAGGAACTACATATGTCTGTTCACTTCTACATTGTGCATCTACCTTCTCTTTGTTACTACCAGCTATTTGTGTGTTCAGTTAAAGGCCTGCACAAGAATCTATTTTGTGAGACCCTTCCACAAAGACTATGCCACTGTGCTCCTTCTTTTTTTAAAAGGTAAGCAATTATTTGCAAAACCTGAAAAAATAAACGTGGAACTTGTGTGACCTTTAGGTAAGAAGTAATTACTTTAAAAATTAAGATAGTTTGCAAAATGAAATCTTATAGAACAACAAAGACTACTGATTATAGTTCCACAGACATGCCACAGAGAAAAGCAGAGTGCAAAATAAAAGCTTGAGAGGTGAGAAAGAAGAAAAAACAGCTTGTCACTAAAATTTAAAATAATCCACTACTAAACAGTGCAAATCTTAAAACGACCCTGGAGCTATAGAAGCAGGCTGGCCTACACCATGAAATTAATGAAACAAGTAATGTCACTTGTGATTTATGATCATCATTTAAGTCTCTTTTTGAAATGGGATGCAGGCTGATAATTTTTGTAACCTCTAATGTACAAGGAAAATAAACATAGCCATAGTAAGGCATTTCAAAGATGTAAATAAATATATATTTACTCCTATTTATTCAAGCCCTTCAGAATAAATAGTAATAATTATGACAAAACTCACAACTTTTTTATATGTAGTGCTTTTTGCATTAATCATAATGGACTACCAGTACACTTTATTAACTTAAGGAGAGACACTAGAAAGATAAATTTGGCTTGTACTACTAAAAGTAGTTACAGATTAATGGTTGTAGTATCTCAGGGTTGTAGCATAGAAACATTAGGTTAAAAGGAGAACAGCATTTATAGCCCTACAACAACTTTACAAATATCCATGGGATGCATCATTTACGTGTGTTTATTACCAGCTGTAGTTACTGTTAGAACAAGTGATTTGAGGCTTTTCAAGGTAATGAAATACAATACAATACAATCCCAGTGTAAATGGCACAGTATCACGTCGCACTTGAGATTGCTAGCCGGCCTTAGCCACCTTTTAACATTTTTAAAAATAAAAAGATATATATACTCCTTTACTAGAAAGGAAAAATTAGCCTACAGTGAGGAAGTACAGTACTGTTGTACTGTTAAGTATTGGGGGGAGGGAAGGAGATTGGAAATGCAATATCCATAACACTGATCAGAGCACCTCACTTCTCCAGATTTTTTTAATCCTCCAGGGCAAGTAGAATTGTTTCAAGGCAAATCTCTGGACTCTATTCATATTTATATTTTCCCATTATGCTTCTGACTTCCATTGTTCCCATCCATAAGGGGGAAAAATGAAGACAGCTGAAACCTGGGCCTTTCCTATACTGTGCAGTGCACTTACAGCCATAAAAAAAAGGGGGGGGGGAACACGACAACAGAGTTTCCCATGGTCTCATGAATTAGGAAATCCTGGGATGGAAGAGAAATTATGAAAAAACTCAGCCACTGGAGAAAGAACATGGATGTAGGCAGGGAAGTGACTTGAGGATTAGGGAAAGTCAGGAGCTACAGAGGCAGAGGGAGGCACTGTCAAGGAACCAAGGCGAAGGGGGATTCATGAGGGGTGCTACAAAATGCACTGAAGTCTGAGGTTGAATAATACTTTTGTTGGTTCTCTAGAAAGTTACTAGAAGATTACAAGTAAGATGGGTTTTCAACTTCTCCAGCACAGTTCATGGGGCAAAGATGGTATACAACCTGGGATTGTGGCAAACAGTTCAAGCAATGGATCAGAGGTAATGCCTTTCACTCACAAAGCCACTCTGCCAACAGAGCAAGGAATTCAGATTCCACAAGAGAGAAGTAATAAAGATACCAATTGGCAATTTCTCTCCCCTCCCGCTGCAGACAAAGGTCCTCCACAGACTGGCCAATTGCCTTGAATAAAAACACAGATGCCTCTTTGTAGGATATGAAACAGTGTCTCAGTCTTGTAAACCACAACCTGTAGGAAGATTTCTAACTCTTTTTTCCCTTAACTTTGATCACTCCATCTTTATGGCCATGAGGGAAGGTTTCACTGAAGGTTTCATTAATAGGGAGATTTTCAGTTAGGACCAAACAGTAATTGTTGAGAGGCATGCAGAACAACAGTAGAGACAGGAAACAGTTAACCTTTCTCGCTGAGCAAACTGAGTGAGCCACTGATGTCAAAGTTAATAAGATTTTGTTTGTGTAAGCTATTCAGAATTGCTTGCTTCATTTCTTTTTTATAAGTGGCTTGCCTTTCACCAGCAATACACAAGAACATGCTCTTCAGTCTTTGAGCAGAGATGCTGAGAAATTCAGCTGCAGCTGCAAGAATATTTTGGCTAAAACATTATGCCAGAAGTTCTTTTGAGCATATTGGCAAAGAATGTAAATAAACTTCCTTACTGGTGATAGTAGGAAAAATAGTAAGACAAGAAAAAAATTGTTCTCATTACAAGTACTGTACATAAACTCTTTTTTGACAACATGTGTCAAATGTAAGCAGGCATGTTTGTAACATTAAAAGTACTGGGGGAGGGGAGTCAAAAGTTTTCAAAATAAAAATACATCAAGGCTTTCGATCTTCTACTCAAACAAAAACAACCCAAAAAATTGATGCAGGAGTCCTGTAGGGAATAATTTACTTTTAATCCTCTCACTATTTTTAAAGGTATTGTCTTTCTGAAAGCATTTAATAGAATGGAGAGGAGAATAAATGATAGATTGAATCAGAAGCTGAGTTTTCAAAACAGGAGAGTGCAGAGTGGAAGAAAAAGAAAAACTGTTTTAAAGTGAAGCTTTAGATGCATAGTTGCCTCATTTGGCAGATGAATATATGAACATAATGCTAGAGTGGGAGAGAGATGCATGGAAAGAGTGATACAAAAGGTATAGACATTGATTAACAATTATCCTTTGCAGATAGTAGTTGGGAAGTGAGAGGACATCCTTACATAGCTAAGCAAATTCATACATGATGTACTTAAATCAGTTGTTAAAGGAAGATTCACAATAATCAGACTCTTTTGAAATGCAATTAACAGAATGCATTAGTATTTTAGTCAACAGTTACATATCAAAGTATTCAACAATTAGCAATACAAATATGCAAAATCATAGTAGACTTTCTCTTTTGATTGTTATATATTCATATATTGTGTTCCATTATTTTCCCATAAATGGCACCTAAGGAAGTTTATTAAAGGTACAGTGGGACCTCGACTTACGAATGTTCCTACCTATGAACAATTCAACTTACGAACGGCTCTGTTCACAAAAATCTACTTCGACTTGCTAACGGAGCCTCGACCTACGAACGAAAAAAAGGCAGGGGAACGAAAAAAAGGCAGGGAAAAGGGCAGGAAATTCAAATTTACCCTGCCTTTTTTTCGTTCCATTCAAACCGTTTGTGGCGAAGAGGCTGCTCTTTTGCCCCAACGGTTAGGAAAAGGGACTGCCCATGAGGTCTCTGATGGCAGCGGGGAAGCTCCCAGGGCTTCCCCACCACCATTGGAGACTTCCTGGGGGTCCGATTGCGGTGGTGGAGGAGCAATTTTAAATTTCCCACCCTTTTCAGGCCGCCACGATTGGACCCCCAGGAGGTCTCCGATGGCAGTGGGGAAGCCCTGGGAGCTTCTCCGGCGCCATTGGAGACCTCCTGGGGATCCCTTTTCCTAACCGTTGGGGTAAAAGAGCAGCCCCAGGAGGTCTCCAATGGCGGCGGGAAAGCCCTGGGAGCAAACGCGATTCTTGGTTGTATCAATAGGAGTATAGTGTCCAGATCAAGGGAAGTGATAGTACCAGTCTATTCTGCTTTGGTCAGACCTCGACTGGAGTATTGTGTCCAGTTCTGGGCACCTCAATTCAAGAAGGATGTTGACAACCTGGAACGTGTCCAGAGGAGGGCGACCAAAATGGTCTAAGATCTGGAAGCCATGTCCTATGAGGAGCGGCTTAGGGTGTTGGGAATGTTTAGCCTTACAAAAATGAAGTTAAGAGGGGACATGATAACCATGTTTAAATATTTGAAGGGATGTCATGTTGAGGAAGGGACGGGTTTGTTTTCCAC